CATGGTGGCACATGCCTGTCGTCCCAGCTACTCGGGAGGCTGAGGCAGGAGAACTGCTTAAACCCAGGAGAAGGAGGTTGTGGTGGGCCGAGATTGCACCATTACATTCCAGCCTGGGCAGCAAGGGCAAAACTCCATCTCAAAAAAATTAAATTAAATATATATACATGTACAGACACACACACACACACACACACACACACACATACACACACGTAAAATGCAGACCATATATGTAATTTTAAATTTTCTTTTAACCATATTTAAAAAATAAAAATTTCTTATAGCCATATTTTTAAACAATTAATTTTAAGATATTTTATTAAACACAATCTGGCAGTACTATTTTATAATATAATCAAGATAGATTATTTTTGAGATGTTTTGTTCCTTTCATACTACATGTTCAAAATCCAGTGTATATTCTACACTTATGACATATCTCAAGTTGTATAACCACACTTCAAGTACTCAACAAATACATGTGACTGGTGGTATCAAAAAGTGCAGTTCTAAACATAACATAAAAGCCATGTCTAAAATTAAGCTCATCTTTTTCCTTAAATCTGTCCTTCTTATATTCCCTGTATTAATGAGTAAATAGCATCTAAATATACATGGAACCCAGAAATCATCCCACATGTCAATACTCCCTTAACGTGACATGCCTAATTAATCACTAAAGTCCTTTTCGTTCTACCTCCTAAATGTCTCTCAGCTCTCTATATTGTAATGGCTTCTTTGTAAGTGTGTTCAATCACTGGACTCTAACTTCCATTAAGTCATGGACTATGTTTTCTCTTCTTTGTATCTTCAATACTGCACAGAGTACCAGACATATAGCACATACCCATTCACCATTTGCTTTGACAATCATTAATCATTTGCTATATGGAGAAAGCCAGAAAAAGTTTTCTGAGCAACTGAGAACTAAACCTCAGAAGAAGACTAGAACTAAAAGTCAAAGGAGAGTTAATCAACTGAAATGAAAACATCAAGAAGCCAAAAGAGAAGGTAATACATTAAAATCCAAATAAAATTCTAAAGGTAAAAGTATTGGACAATAAAGTAGCAACTAAGGTAAATTTCAATATGATAAACACACTAAGTAACTAACTTCACATTCATTACATTTGGCTTTAATAAAATATACTACATGATATATTCTATTTACACATTCAAATCCAGATTCCTTACTAAAATATTTGATATACTTTAGACCAAATAATCTTGTACTAAAACATATGCATGAGGCTTAACACATTGGTAGTGTTGATTTGAATGAACTGCAGACTTAAAAGCAGACAGAATTTAAAGACAATCTGGAGACCATCTAGTCAAAGTCTATTGTCTTCCAGATAAAGAAATGAAGACTAAAGTATTAAAATAATCTGTCAACAGTCACAGAGAGCAAGTTAGAGATAGTTCTGCTATATTTCATACTGTTTATGAATAAATACCAAAATTATTTGTGTTATTTAAAAAATTAAAATAAATATCATCAGCTTAGGCAACATGACAAAACCCTATCTCTAAAAAATAAAAATAAAAATAATTAGCCACGCATGGTGGTGCATGCCTACAGTCTCAGCTACTTGGCTGAGGTAGGAAGACATTTTATGTCCAGCAGGTTGAGGCTGCAGTAAGCTGTGACTGTGCCACTCAACTCCAGCCTGGGCGACAGAGGGAGACACTGGAAAGAAAGAAAAGAAAGAATAAAAAGAAAGAAAGAAGAGAAAAGAAAAGAAAAAATAAATATTATAACTATCATAGCCCTTCTAGAAAAAAGACAGTAAGACTAATATCTACTCCTAAGCTAAATAAGAATATAATTATATTTTAAAATTCTGTATTTAGAACAACAAATTAAAATTCCTTTTAATAAAAATGCAGGCCGGCCAGGCGCAGTGACTCATGCCTATAATCCCAGCACTTTGGGAGGCAGAGGCGGGCAGATCACATGAGGTCAGGAGTTTGAGACCAGGCTGACCAACATGGAGAAACTCCATACCTAATAAAAATACCAAATATTAGCTGGGCATGGTGGCACATGCCTGTAATCCCAGCTTCTCAGGAGGCTGAGGCAGGAGAGTCTCTTGAACTTGGAAGGCGGAGGTTGCGGTGAGCTGAGATAGCGCCACTGCACTCCATTCTGGGCAACAAGAGCAAAACTCTTGTCTCAANAAAAAAAAAAAAAGAAAATAAAAAGGCCGGGCATGCTGGCTCACACCTGTAATCCCAGCACTTTGGGAGGCCGAGGCAGGCAGACCACAGGGTCAGGAGATCGAGACCATCCTGGCTAACATGGTGAAACCCCGTCTCTACTAAAAATACAAAAAAATTTACTGGGCGTGGTGGTGGGCGACTGTAGTCCCAGCTACTCAGGAGGCTGAAGTAAGAGAATCGCTTAGACCCGGGAGGCTGAGATTGCAGTGAGCCGAGATTGTGCCACTGCACTCCAGCCTGGGCAACAGAGGGAGACTTCATCTCAAAAAAAAAGAAATATTATTACTATCATAGCACTTCAAGAAAAAAAATGACAGTAGGATCAATATCTACTATACTTCTAAGCTAGGTAAGAATATATTTCTTGATTTCTAGTAGCTTTGAAGTTCTCTTAAAAAAAAAATTATAGTTTAAAATTCTGTATTTAAAACAACAAATTAAAACTCTTTTTAAGAAAAATCCAGGCCAGCCTGGCACAGTGGCTCACACCTGTAATTCCAGCACTTTGGGAGGCTGAGGCAGGAGGATCACCTGAGGTCAGGAGTTTGAGACCAGTCTGACCAACATGGAGAAACTGTGTCTCTACTAAAAATACAAAATTAGCCCAGCATGGTGGTGCGCACCTATAATCCCAATGCTGGGGAGGCTGAGGCAGGAGAATCACTTGAACTTGGGAGGCAGAGGGTGCGGTGAGAGCCAAGATTGTGCCATTGCACTCCAGCCTGGACAACAAGAGCAAAACTCCATCTCAAAAAAACAAAAACAAACAAACAAAAAAAAAAAAAACCATCCAGGCCAGGCGCTGTAGCTCATGCCTGTAATCTCAGCACTTTGGGAGGCCAAGGAGGGTAGATCATTTGATCTCAGGAGTTCCAGGCCATTATGGGAAACAAGGCGAAACTTCGTCTCTACAAAAAATTACCAAAAAATATTAGCCAGGTGTGGTGGTGCGCATCTGTGTTCCCAGCCACTCAGGAGGCTGAGGTGGGAGGACTGCCTGAGCCTGGGAGGTTGAGGCAACAGTGGGCCATGATGGTGCCACCACACTCCAGCCTAGGTGACAAAGTGAGATATGCTTAAAAAAAAAAGAAAAAGAAAAATCTAAATGGCCCAAAAACAAGATAATAAACTAAGAATTTGTAAAAAGAGCAAAAGGACAAACGAAGAGGAAAAAAAAAATTTGCATCTGTAAAAATAATGTTTGTTCTTATGCTTTTTTAATTGCTCTTTTTAATAGACACCTAAAGGCTCCAGCCCATAAAATTCAAGTCTTACTATGTGCCAAGGGTGGTGGCTCACATCTGTAATCCTAAACCTTGTATACACACACACACACACACACACACACACACACACACACGTTGGGCACAGTGGCATATGCCTGTAATCCCAGGACTTCTGAGAGCCTGAGGCTGCCAGATCACTTGCGCTCCGAAGTCTGGGACCAGCCTGGGCAACATGATGAAACCCTGTCTTTACAAATAATATAAAAATTAGATGGGCTTGGTGGTAGGCGCCTATGTCCCAGCTACTCAGGAGGCTGAGGTGGGAGAATCACTTGAGCCAGGGAGTTAGAGGCTGCAGTGAGCCGAAATCACACCACTGCACTCCAGCTTGGGCCACAGAGTGAGACCTTATCTCTAAATAAATAAATATTAGTTGGCTATGGTGGCATATGCCTATAATCCCAGCTACTCTGGAGGCTAAGGCAGCAATAAGCCCAGGAATTCCAGGTTGCAGGGAGCTATGTGTGACTGCACTCCAGCCTTGGTAACAGAGTGAGACCCTGTCTCTTAAAAAAACGGAAAAAGAAATGTCTTAATATGCATGCTTAAGAGCAATGGGAAATGCAAATCAAAACAAAAATGGAATTATATCTAACAATCTGATTTACAGGATATTTTACAGAAATATATCAATGATATGAGTTTATGTTTAAATATTAATTCCATTAAATTTTAGATCATTTTGAGAGCTTCTAAAAATTTGAAGAAAAAAAAGTAGTTCCAAAATAAACATGCCTGTCAGGTCAAACCGCTGATCCAAGGAAATAATAAAAATAAATTAACAAAACAAAGTAAACATGCCTGCAATTTTAAAAATTAAAATAAAGTATTTGTATGAATCCCTTCAGCACAGAAGACAAGATTTAAGTTAGCTAAATTTTATGTACACTGGAATTCCTGTATACTGTCATTATAAGGCTATGATGTCTTTATTTTCAGAGGTAAAGGGGCAACAATTTATAGTTTACTATAGTTCCTCCAAACACAAATTTTTATTAGCTAATTCATAAAATCTTCATTATCACTTAAAAATAAAAATATACTAAGTTATTTAATAAATTGTAAGAAACAATGCTGTTCAGAAAGAGTCAGAAGAAATATATCAGAAAGCCATGAAACAAATAGGAATTAGAGTCAAAGTATCCCATCATCTGCTATGGTTATTACTGCTTAACAGTAAATAATAATATTAGTACCCTACTGTCCCTAAAGCTAAGGTACTTATCTAAAAAGTATTTTAAATCCACATATAATTATTCTCAAATATTCTCATTAATCAAATAAAATTATGAAGAAGGAAATTCCTATTAGAATAGGGATTATTCTTTTAGTCAGTATTTATATGATGACACATTGCATTTTGTACATTTAAAGATAGGGAAAAAAATTAGTCCATTATATTATTTCAACATATTAAGTCTTGAATTACTAATCTGAAATTAAAGAAAAAGCCTTAGAGCATTAAAATCCCACACCTGAAAGACTTACCATTTTATCTAGATGTTCAATGGATCTATAAATCTCCCCCTGGGATTCATCATAGTAACTGTAACGGAACCTTTGACCTTGAAACAAATATCATGTACAAAATAAAATAGGGAAAAATTAGAAGCTAAAAAGAAAGCAAGCGCTTACCAAATAATTTCAGTTCTCATGAAAGGCAAAGCACAGCTTAAGCCTCTGAGAGAATCATTCCCAAGAGCCCTTGTACATAAAAATAAAAGGCATATTTGGGAAGGTAATAAAGAAATGATATCACCAGTGTTTTATGATGTTAAAAACTATTTCAAATTGTAGAAACCTTAAAATCACCAGAAATACAAGGTTAAGGAAACAAAATAGCTTAAAAGTTAGAAGCATTGTTAAACATTTTATCAGTCTATATTGGAAAGCAAACCCAAGGAATATTACTCAAGAAAATTTGGTTTGAGAAAACTATCTTGGTATAGAGCAAATCACTAAAAGCTTAGGTTTTGCTGTACAAATGCAAGATTTGATCTCTCTTACAGGAAAAAAAAATTGTACAGGTCACAAATACTGTGACTTGTGTGATTTTTATGATGCAAATTTTAAAAATTTTATCTCGTTTTTGTACTACTTGGAAAAGGATCAATACAAGTGCCTTATGCAATGTGAATAGTATACACAAAAGGGTAAACATAACATAAATATAATAAATATTCCTACCCTGACATAAAATCTCAATAAGAGTATAAGCATAGAACATTCAATGTTTTGGCTATTCTCCAAAGAACAGAGAGAGTAAAACGGAAGAAGCTTAAAGAGAAGACAGAAAACAAAAGGCTCAGAAAATAAATTCTTTTTCCTACTATAGATATATGAAAATCAAAAGTTAAACATTTTCTTAATTATGGATTGTTACTCAACTGACTGCAACATATTCCAGATACACCTAAATCTATTTTTCAGCAGTGCCTTTCTTCTAAGAGCTCATTACTTTTATATTTCCTTACTGTTAAAGATTGACCAAAATGCATTTCTAAAGGAATCAGAGCATACAAATCATGTACACACATCATGTGCCCTGTGCTTCATGTTTAGAGCAATATTGATATACCCAGCTACCACCCTCACATCTGAGGACATGGAATTCTTCAGCTGGATAATTAAGATTTTTAAGTTTTCTGTTCATCTTACTAAAAAAAATATATGTAAATAGTGGGCAGTGCAAAATTCTAAAATCCTCTTTGATGTCCTTTTCTGAAAAACCACACATCACAAGACTTAAACACTTCATTCATTTGTTGATACTGATCACCTTTGATGGTCACTTTTCTAAAATGTCATTATTTCCTTAATTTTCACATTTTAACTTTCATATACAGTAATATAATTATTCAATGTAGCAGTCCTTATTCTCTCCCAAGAGCCATTATTCAATCAATATTGCATCTTATAACTTAACTGATGATATCCTAGAATTAACTGGGCAATAGGGTCTAAAGTAATATCTGCTTTCTGAATATAGCAATAAAGATTACTGCATGTTACCTTAGCTATGAGATCAACTATAGACCTTGAACTAAAAAAAAATTCTTAAACAATGCCTCTATATTGATAATTCATCAAACATTTCTTTCAAAATTTAGGGTTATGTATGGCCTTATTTTTCTGTAAAGAAGATATATATTAATACTTCATATATAACTAACAATAAGAATTACTCAATAACTATATAACTAACACTATTTTTCTCTTTTTTTTTTTTTTTTTTTTTTTTTTGACAGAGTCTCACCCTGTTGCCCAGGCTGGAGTGTAGTAGCGCAATCTTGGCTCTCTGCAACCTCTGCCTCATGGGTTCAAGTGATTCTCCTGCCCCAGCCTCCCCAGTAGCTGGGACTAGAGGCATATGCCACCACATCTGGCTAATTTTTGTATTTTCAGTAGAGACGGGGTTTCACCATGTTGGCCAGGCCGATCTTAAACTCCTGACCTCAAGTGATCCACCTGCCTTGGCCTCCCAAAGCGCTGAGATTACAGGCGTGAGCCACCACGCCCAGCCTGACACTGCTTTTTTCATCGTCATGTGGCTGTGAGAAGGCTGCTCAATGCCAAATCTAAGGTGCAGTTATAATAATTTCTCGATTCAATTCACTGATACTAAATTTTTACTTTTATTTCAAAGTTATTTTGAGAAAGCTGTCCAAAATCTTTCTGAAACAAATGAACACCTTAGACAAGAATATTCTGACTCACTGTCATTACAGTAAGAACAATATTCTTGGAGGAAATCAAGGTAGTATACAACTCTGTCTTTGAACCTGAACTGCTTTAGGTTTACACTAATACATTCTCTTTTCCCTGCTTCTGGACATAGCTATTCATTTTGGCTACTATCAGTAAGCCTTGTGACTGGGACATAATCTACTGCTACTCCCAGGTGCAGAGAAAAATGCATATACTCTGTGATAGTCATTTGCTACTCAAAAGTCTTTTATGTTTAATTCCAAGTTAAGAGTTGCTGTTCCAAATGGCTGAAGTTGGTCAACCAAGCCTTAACACTAAATGAAAAGTCTATATTTTAATTGCTATCTTGTTCATATGGACCATTTTCTATGTAACTTTCACTTAAAAACTGGTTCTGAAGGAAAAGAAGAGGAAATGTTTGAAATACTTTAAAATACTGAATCAGCATGGGATTTAATGAGAATGCCAAAATGAACAGAGAACCAATGGGAGTAAATGCTCTACTTTTTGTTACTATTTAGTAGCCACCTTACATTTAGTAACTGAAAAACTGACTATAAATATTTGAAGGGCTCTAAAGAACGTTTCAACTAAGTAGCTACACCGAATAAATATTTTACTTGTAACAGCTCAAACTGTCTCATGGTAATTTTTTAAAATTATACAAATATTTAAAAATCACTTGAGCAATGTATTCTGGTCAATATAAATACAGAAGGCATCTAATTTTAAGTAAATAGTTGCTATCATCATAACCTACATGTATGTGTCTATTTACATATACATACATACATACACACAACTTTAGTCAGTCACCACTTAGAAACTTGAGTTTAAAATACCATTCTTTGGTTTTTATTATTAAAAAGTTAAGTGTCTCAAAATTTTATTTAATAGTAAAGAAAATGATAGCACAAGCACAATAAATTGATGATAAATATACCTTTAACTAAAAATGTATTACTGACTTAAATTATAATTTTATGTATCTCATGAGCAAATATATTTTATTTTTATCAGTTTTTATGTTTCTGACATTCAGTAAAGGTTATGAAGCTAAACTATAAAAAATACAATTGTCCATGTACCTGGAGAACTGGACTTTTGTACTTTTATAAGTATCAATAAAGCGTATCACATAGTAAAAGAAAATTACTTACCTGAAACTTATCCTTTCAGAAGGTACACTGGGAAAATGGATTCTTTGAGCCCCTGTTTCAACTCCAAGTATGAGCTTTCTAGCTTTAAGAGCCATTGACACTGCCCCTAGGGGCAGCACAAGCTTTGGAACTCCCCTAGTGAGTATGTCAGTAGTTTCTTCAGGTGCCTTCCCTCAGTTCTTTTCAAATTCAAAAGATGAGAGGAAAAATAACCCAAGAAAAAAATCCTGTAAAGCAGAAACCTTACTCTTTGAGGGAAGGAGGGTAGCTCATTTGTGAATCCATTCCAGAGCACGCTTTCTGAGAAAAAGAAATACAGGTAAGTAATTTTCCCATCTCCAAAGGTGACTGGTGATTAATGAGTGGATTCACAGAGTGTGGAGAATAAGCTCCAGGGATGTCTGTTTAACACACAACAATCAACTAATGAGGACAAACATAACAATGAATGGTACAAAAACCAATGCTACTTTTTAAGTCCCTTAAAACAAGAGGTATAAGAATATTAAATACCTCAACATTAAGCTATGCACTGAACTGCAAAAATAAATAATGACCTTGGGAAGTTGATCTATAAAGCCCCCAAAAGATCAGTCAGTAAGATAGATTTTTCAGACACACAGCCATTAAAAATTATACTGTCATACATTTACTTAATCGTTGTTTATATGTGAAACCCCTTTCCAATATTTGAGTTAAACCTCACAACAACCTTGTGAGATAGATTATTAAGCCATTCTATACTAAGGACCCAACCTGGGGACATTCGTAATTAAAATCACTACCAAAGAAAAAGTGTATTTCATAAAGGAAATATTCTCTAAGTAGCATCAAATAAGATAATCACTTTAAAAAGCTAATTATCATGCTTTCACGCTGAAGTCCTAGTTATATAAGTATTAGCCTTATCTCAAATCTGCAAAAAGTCAAAAACTAAATATGTAAAATCAGTATGTGCAATTATTTGAGAAGACAACTATGATGGCTTGGTTAAGGTATATTTTAAGAATTAGCTAACTTACACTCAAACCAATTTAACTATTTAGAAAATAGCAACAGCCTTATACCCAAGAGACTAACAGAAAGACTACGCATGAATAATCACATTAATATACATTAAAGAAGAAATCTGAGTAAGTTATAAATTTCATATTTAGGGGAATACCACTTTTAATAAGTGGTAGGTATGTATAAAAAGCTAGTCACGTAAACAAAGACAAATATAAATTTATGCATAAAAATTCAAAACTGCTGAAAAGACTATAGTAAACTTCTCATATTTAAAAATATATATAATATCATAGACATTTACCAAGTAAATTATCTAAACTGATTTGCAAAACCACCATAAAAGGCAAATCAAATCATGACTTCACTTTTTGTTATTTTATTAGAGATGGGGTCTCGCTTGTTGTCCAGGATAAATTCAAGTAATCCTTCTGTCTCAGCCTCCCATGTAGCTGGGACTACAGGCACAAACCACCATACCAAGCTCATGTCTCCACTTTTGAAAAATCAACTTTTGTTAAAACCAATTTCAATTAGAAACTTCTTAGCAGTAAAAATTATGTTATTGAAAGCTGCCAACAATCTAAATTTTGAAATATAAATTTCAGGAAAGTCAGGAAAACACAAATATCAATCATATATATGCAGAAGGCCAAAACTGAAACTTGAGAAAACAGAATGAAAATTCTACTATTTGAAAACTTAAAATAGGTTCAGACAAAATTCTCTCTACGGAGTCATCCTATAGGATATAGAACTTGATAAGCACAAGAAGTATTGGAACAATTTACTTAACTATGGTAAAGCACACAGACTAGTGGCAAATGTCTTTTCACTTACTCTACTTCCTGCTAGTAACAGAAAGGATGAAATGAGGTAGAACTATCTATTTCGTTACCTGAGAAACATAACCTGGCATTTCTATATGTACAAGACTGGTGATGTAATACAAAGCAGGAACTGAAATGCAGGGTTTCTTTTGGAGAACTCAAATGAGAGGATAGAAAGAAGGAGGATAATTAAATCTAGATTTCTGTCTCTCCCTTGGCTTACCACAACCAGAAAGAAAACTTGAGAGTACAGTTCAGTATTTCTACCTTTCTCTCTCTAATGTCTCTTTTCAAGTCTAAATAAAAGCTACAAGGCATCTGAAAAATGAACATCTTTAGGGTAAAATAAATTTAAGAAAATAAATCATTTTTATAAAGAATACTGGCTAACAAATAAGGTCAACAAGAAAAATATTTCCAATTTACACATAAGAATCTGAAATGTCTCTGTCACCATGGTTTTCACTTTTTCTGCAAAAGGTAGACACAATATAAAAAGAACCAATGACTAGAAGTGAAAAATGTAGTCAATGCCAGTAATCTAATAATCAAAACAAAGAAATCTCTGCTGTGTATATCTGAGTAATATTTCAAGTATACTATAATAAATTACTTTTCCCCCAAAATTCAGGTATTTATAAATATAGAGTGTGTTAAGAGGAAACTCAATGAACCATTTAAAACCTCTGTATGAGGTACTGAATCCCTCCTGTGAAATTACTTAGAAGTTAGTGCTATGATTGCTTTTATATAATAAAAATCAATCTGTATAGTATCTCTTTAAATAGAAAGAAAACCATTAAGTATTATCTTCATAAGAAAAAGCTGAATTTTTAAGATGATAATATGGCACGCTTACTAATTTAGGAAAGATGCCCAGCATCAATACAGTATGAATGTGAGAAACATGAAACCTAACTCTTAAGATAGCTTCACCCATAACTGGTCAATAATTCATATTACTTCAGTAGGCATGCAAAAGAAAAAAGGTATCTTATTTTACAAGAATTACTATGGCAGTGAGAAGACTATCAGTTTTGGAATATTACCTATGTTATACTTTTCACTTATCCCTAAAACTCCAACATATTTCTCAGTAAGGAGTAGCATAGTACTTTCCATAAGTACAAAGAAAATATTTAATGAGTATTAGTAATGACGGTGATACTAAAAATTCAACACTTGAACAGTTCTATTACTTAACCACCAAACAAAATATAAAAATGTTTTAGTCTTTGGATAATTCTTATAACTATTATTTATGAATCTTTAAAATTCTTTAGTTCTGTTTTGTAGCTATCACCTGGAAATCCTATCTTACAATTTAGATACCAAAATTTTCAAGAGATCAGGAGACAAAACAACCTCAATAATTTTCCGAGAATCTAGGTAGAAGGTAAAACAAATTTACTTTTCTCTCTCAGCCACTGCAGTTACATATAGCAGTGGACTAGGCTGTGCTTGCTTTAGAATTCTATATTAATGAGGTTAAAAAGGATGATTCCACAGAAAAGAGCAATATTGAGATGTTTACTGATATTTTATGTGAATTTATGTTATGGTTGCACAAGTTGCCAACCTAGAGAGAAAGCCCAGGTTCTGAAAAATAGTATCAAAGGGAAATAATTATTTAAATCAAGTGATTCATAAGAGGCTTAAAAATGAAAGGGGTATGCGGCACTTGCTTCAAGAATTTTAATTTTCAAAACATATGGACATGCTTTGTTACCAAGACAAATTCACAACATTAAGGAAAACATCCTGTTTCGCAGTAATGATACTTAAGTTTTCAAGATCACCTATTATTAAATTTCAAAATTCCACAGAAAGGAACTCCCTTTAAGCATCTACTTAGTCTTCACGTCTAAGTAGTATACTTATATCCATAAAATATAACTGCTGCCAAAGGTAGAATACCAGCTAACCAATAGAATCAGTAAGTAAAGAACCCTGAATATTAAAAATAGATTAAAAAAGAAGAAGAATGCTGAGAGCTTCTTTGAGGGTTGGAAAGGAAGCACAATTACCTACATACCCTAAAAATCTGGGTTTCCTAACCTCAGCACTACTGACATTTTGGGCCAGGTTATTCTCTGATGTGGGAGCTGTCCTGTGTCATTATAGGATGTTTGTTTAGCAGCTACCCTGGACTCTACTCATTAGATACCATTAGTATTGCCACCCTCCAAACCATATCCCAGCTGTGGTGATCAAAAATGTCTTTCGACATTTTCAAACGCCCCGAGAGTAAAATCACTCCTAGTTGAGGATAAGTACCTCATGCAAAAAAAACAAATCTATAACATTATGAAAGATAGTTCTCTCGAACTGAGATCTCAACTTTGAAAAGGCCGTTCAGAGACAGAAGAGAAGACACCAGCCAAACCAGGCCGGATAAATTTTGAATTAATTCTGACAATCAATGGTTAAGACATATAATGGGCTCCCTATATTTCACTGAAGATGTTTTTCTGGCTATCCTAGCATTGTATCTTATTATGGTCTTACATTTTAGGTTTCCTTATAGTCAAAGAAATAACTGATAAATGAACAGATATTGGCATCTTAAACCAATAAATTAATAGGTCAAAGAGATGTCCTAAAAGGAACAAAACTTTAGAAATATTTTAGGACAGTAATGGATAAAGGAAAGCAAACTGCATCCAAAGACTATAAAAGCCAAGTTTACTAAAAGAGGCATCCACAAACACCTCAATTCTCTTATGGTGTATTCACTGTGAAGCGTCCTTACTCTAATTCACAATAATTACAAAAGCTACTCAAGAATCCTTACCCTTATAAAAGCATTACCAATGAAGTCCACAGTAGTTTTAAACTGATGGCAATTGTGAGCAAAAACTAAGCACCAAAGGAAAAAAAAGAAAGACTACAAAAAAGGAAATGTGGAAAAGGACTGGCATAGCACATAGTGCTCTTCTGTATCCTAAAGAACACTGGATTTATCCACCACAACTAACTTCAGAAAATCTACCATACACACTTACCTGGAAATGAGGTTAAAAAAGATCTTAACTCCCACTAAATAAGTGTCTAAGCAAGGATGCCTTCACAGTGTGAATCCAATTATACCAGTCGCCTTTGGAAATGTACCCATAATCCACTATTGTAATCTGATCCTTTTTAAAGGGTCAAAAGATTTTTTATTCACTTTTAAACATTGCTGCCAGAAGTAAAACTTTCCAAGGAAAGTGATAAAGAATTGAAAATCAGAACTCAGAATGAAAAGATACCTTTAACCAGAAGTACATAATATCTACCATGATATGTTAAAATCTAGAACTTACCCCAATGGCAGAAATCAGAAGAAACCACAAAGAGATTACTAGGATCCGCTAGATATTTACTGAAGAGTTTTCCGAATTCCTGTTCTTTTGACTCACTCAGAGCTCCAACCAGTACAGGAATAATGGTAAACTCATCCTTATGGCTTAAAGAAAACAGAAAAAAAAAAAAAACAAAAAAAGTCATTTAAGATGCTTAAGAATAAAAATACTTTTCCAACTGCGTTGGCATTAGACAGTGGAATATTTATTAATAGTGATAAGGATAACATACATAACATTATTGTTGAATTCTTAAAATCCATAAATTAAATGCTTAAAGGGTATGAGGGTACGATTAAAAATGAGACATACAGAACACTAAAAATAACCATTTAAACTACAGAAATGCATATTACTACTTTAGGTAAACAAAGCTATTTTACTACCAGGTATAATATCTTGAAGAAAAAAAAAAAAAAAGCCTACCACAACAGCACCAACTCAATTCTTTTCAAGTATTCATCAAGGCTACAGTTACCTGCCAAATCCTTCTGTGATTTTAAAAGAGCTTTAAACTCTTCCTCACCTATTTTAATTCTATCCTATTATAAAAACCATCATTTCTGGCACTTGTTCTGCCAACTGAGACCTACAAAACTTAATCTTGGCTCCCGTAAGATTCATCAACTGCACTTTTACACTTATTCTAATGATCAGATACAAGACAGTCTGAATATACAACTCAAATATCATTGGCATCTAGGATAGACAAAGAATTAAAGGAAGTAAGTATTAATTTCTAGCAGCAAGAAAAAGACACCACACCCACCCACAGTGTTTATGGTATATCCACAAGTCCCTTTTTCACTCTACAGATTGACAGATTCATGGAAAAGAAACAAGGTAGATTAATAAAGAATAACTACGATGAGCTATAGAAACAGACGCTCACTCAAAACCTTTTTTTAAAATGTTATTGTCATGAAATTTTACTTATATATATATGCAGTGATGTATATTCTAAATGATCCCAGATTTGATATTTTTGAAGCATGAATCATGTTTGTCTGAGTTGTTCTAACAGGACCTTTTAAAAACAATCGCCATTACAATAAATGCTTTTTAATATGATAATCTGGCACTTAACTGATGTAGGACAAACAAAATTCATAAAAGTTTTTAAAAATATTAAGTTTCAGTAATCCCCAAATAAATGTTAGCCCAGCTGCATAAAGCTAAATTTAGGGCACCCAAGCACCTCCCCCATAAGGCCCCCTTACCCTGTCAATTGCGAAATAAACAGATCATACAGATCTCCAGTCCCTCTGCAATGCAGGGGCTTCTTGGGCAGAATCTGCATCTAGGGAGTAAGAGAAAAAAAGGAAGCTGGCAGAGGAAGCTGCCACAGGAACTCTTGCTCTAACTCTTACCAGTTTGCTAAATAACTGCCTGACTGAATGGGGCTCTTCAATTAGTTAAGAGTGATTTAAAAAGAAAAGAATTATTCTAACCTCAACTACTAACTACATTAAAAAATACATTAAGACCATCAAAGAGTCTGCAAGTAATTATGATATGACTGGGAAGCAGTTATACAGAGTATAAAGAACAGGGAGAAACCAGAAGAAATGCGTTCAAGAGCCATCCCCACCACATACAAATGTTGAGAGCATAGGTTAGGTTCCCAACTTGCAAATATATTTCCTTATCTTCAAAATGATCATAATTACAATACTTATTTCATAAAATTGTTATGAACCGAAGAACACTATAGGAAAGGTACTTTGTCACAATAGTTGGCTCACTCTGAATAAACAACACATGTCTACTCTCCACAAGAGACATTAATCTCTTCAATTAACCTCAGTTTGAGCTTGCAAATCTATAAGGAGATATAAAACTCTGCCCTCTGTAGAAACCTAGGATTTGAATCGAGGCTCATTCATCCACCCCTCTGTCATCTCTCTTTTCAAAAAATTACTTGTTCTAATTAGAGAAAAGACCACTTAGCTTTGAAATGTAATACCAGTAGGATTTAAAATCCAAGATCTGAAGTATAACTTTCCAGTAAAGGAATACAAAAATCTCATTCCCAAAAAGTAATTATAAAACTGAATAAAAGCATCAAAAACAACCATCTTTGTGCTATGGAAATTGACCAAAGGCAAAACAAAACAAAAAACCCACAATGACAGAAGTGTATTCATGAAAACCTACAGGACTTCTTGGTAACAACAGTGGAAATTCGGCATCTTACCAGGAGCTGCCTCCATCCCCTACCCCAGCTCCAATGACGTAAAACTTACAACAAGAAACCAGCACCTTCATTGCAAAAAGGGGATGACTTTGATTTGGAGCAGAGGGTGGAAAACCCACATTCAGTAGGAAACAGAAAAGCTTGCAGATTTCCTAGCCCAAGATTGCTGTTGTCAGGGTGAGCCAGAAACCTGAGGACTAGCTAAAAATTTAATAGAAAGATCCTGGAAATGGAAAAGCCACAGAGAGACTTCATAAATTTCCCGCCTATCCTAAAGAGATAGCCTATGTCCTGCACACAACACTGGCTAACTAGGAGACTGTGCACATGTACAGGGGAGCCCCATAAGGGGCTAAGTTTCACATAAAATGTAGGCCAACTGAGAGACTGGCAGTGTATGCACAGGGGAAGCTGGGAAACTGAGAGACCTAGCTCTCCACATACCCCTGGCTAACAGAAAATTTGAGTGCACGCACAGGGTCTTAGGTCAAAGACAACATAGTAAAAAGTAAAAGAGAAAAACATGAAAACAGACTACACTTAGTTGATTTTTTCTTTTAATTAGAAACAGGGTCTCACTATGTTGCCCAGGCCAGCCTCAAACTCTGAGCCCAAGTGATCCTCCCTTCACACCTTCCATACAGTCTCCCAACAGAGGGTGAAAGCTTTACTGGCTCAAGATGTTTAAGTAGAGTATTCAACCAATAATCAGCTAAGCACTAAATTATGCAATTGCAAGTGGGAACTATACAAAACCAACCTTAACATTAAAAACTTTTAAAAGCTGGGGACACACATAAGTAGCTACACACAGTGGGAGGGACAGATTCTGCAGCTGAAGTCCGTGAAAGTTACTAAATGAATAAATAAATACAACGTGCAACGGGAAGAAAAAAGAATTAAAAAAGAATCCAAAGTTACTATAACATACTAAACAAAATGTACCGTTTTAAGAAAAAATCATAAGTCATGCAAAGAAACAGCAAACTATGACCCATATTCAGGGGGAAAAATAAGCAGCCAGCAGAAGATGTATCTGAGTAAGAGCAAATATTAGATTTAGCAGACAAAAACTTCAAAGGAGTTACTATAAATATATTTGAAGAATTACAGGAAGCCATGCTCAAAGTTATGATGATATAACTAGACAAATTGGAAATATCAACAAAGAAATGCAAACTATTAAAAAGAACCAAGAGGAAATTTTAGAGTTGAATAGTAACAAATAAAAAATTCACTTGAGTTCAATAGATGGTCTGTAGAGCAGATTTGATATTACATAAGAAGCAGTCTATAAAATTACAGATGAAGAAATTAATCAGTACAGAGAAAAAGAACAGAGCACTGGAGACTTGTAAACAACATCAAGCATACCAGCATGCATATAATGGGAGCTTGGGAGAGGGAACAGTAAAAATATTACAAGAAATAACTGTTGAAAACTTTCCAAATTTCATGAAAAAAAAAACATTTTAACCTACAGATCTAAGGAATTCAACAAAAATCTGAAGGTAAGCACGAAGAGATCCTCACCTAGATATATCATAATCGAACAGTTAAAAACAGAAGAAGAAAATTTCGAAAGCAGCCAGAAAAAAATAACATTATATATAGGAGAGTTTTTCAACAAATGGTACAACTGTATATCCACACAGCAAAATAAAGATAAAAATAAAAATAATAATGAACTTGTCTCTCTGCCTCAGACCATATACAAAAATTAACTAAAATTGGATCCTAGAACTACAAGAGCTAAAACTGTAACACTTCTAGAACAGGGGTCAACAAACATCTTTTGAAAGGGGCCATTAAGTATTTCAGGTTTTCTGGGCAATACAGTATAGCAATTGTTTAAAAGTTCAGGTAGAGAGAAAGCAGGCACAGACAGTATGTAAATACAGAAGTTGGCTATATTTAAATCAAACTTTACTTACAAAAGTAGGCTGTGGGCCAGATGGGATTCACAGGCTACAGTTTGCTGAAACTTGTTCAAGAAGAAAACAAAGGAGAAAATTTCTATGACCTTGGATGAGGCAAGTTTTCTTAAATTTGATACCAGAAACAGAATCTATACCCCAAAAAAGTTAACTGAATTTATCAAAATTAAAAACTTAAGAAAATGAAATGTCAAATCATAAAATAGAAAATCTTTGCAAATCATGTATCTAATAAAGATTTGTCTCCAAAAATTCTTATAACTCAATAAAAACAACAAATTACAAAAATAAAAATTGGGAAATATGAATAGATATTTCATAAAAGAAGATACACAAATGAATAATAAGCACATAAAAAGTTGCTCCACATAGTTTGTAGTTCTCCTTGAAGAGGTCCTTCACATCCCTTATAAGTTGTATTTCTAGGTATTTTATTCTCTTTATAGCAATTGTGAATGGGAGTTCACTCATGATTTGGCTCTCCATTTGGCTGTTATTGGTGTATAAGAATGCTTGTGATTTATGCACATTGATTTTGTATCCTGAGACTTTGCTGAAGTTGCTTATCAGCTTAAGGAGATTTTGGGCTGAAACAATGGAGTTTTCTAAATATACAATCATATCACCTGCAAACAGAGACAATTTGACTTCCTCTCTTCCTATCTGAATACCCTTTATTTCTTTTTCTTGCCCGATTGCCCCGGCCAGAACTTTTGATATCATGTTGAATAGGAGTGGTGAGAGAGGGCATCCTCATCCTGTGCTGGTTTTCAAAGAGAATGCTTCCAGTTTTTGCCCATTCAGTATGATGTTGGCTGTGGGTTTGTCAATAAATAGCTCTTATTATTCATTTTGAGATACATTCCATCAATCCCTGGTTTATTGAGTTTTTAGCATGAAGCAGTGTTGAATTTTATCGAAGGCCTTCTCTGCATCTGTTGAGAGAATCGTGCTTTTTGTCTTTGTTTCT